TTATTTTCTCTTCTACTGTTTATACATATATATGTGTATATGTATATGCATGTATTTTATATATATATATATATATATATATATATATATATATATATATATATATATATATATGTGTCTGTGTTTATGTATAAGTGTGTGTATGTGTATATATGTGTGTGTGTGTCTTTATGTTAGTGTATTTCTCTAGCTGTTACTATGTTCTCCCAACCACCACACATGAAAATTGGGTTAAAAACGAACACCGTTCCCCACACATCATCAATATTATAAATCCACAGGAAACATTTTCTGAGTCAAGTGTCTAGACATCCCGTTATCTTGCCTTTTAAAAATATTCCTGATAAATTTAAATTTAAACCATTTTGTAAATTTGGTCCATTGTAATTTCCGTCTGATGAGACGGTTTATTAAAAACTTACCCGTTGAAATAAAGTATAATTTATAATTGTCTTTTCGATGATGGGTTAAGTTTTTCCTTGATATATATATATATATATATATATAAATATATATATATATAGAGAGAGACAGACAGACAGAGATTTGTATATATATATGTGTGTGTGTGTGTGTGTGAAATGTATATATATATATATATATATATATATATATATATATATATATATATATATATGTGTGTTATATATATATTATTTATATATTATATATGTGTGGTACTTATTGGAAAGCACTCAATATCAGTGATAGAGCTAACATACTTAGTTGGATTGATGTGAATTTGTGAGCCTAGGTTTCACACTCTCTGTGATCATCAGACAAACTTGTTTGTCTGATAATTGGAAATAGTGTGAAACCCAGGGTCACAAATTCACATCAATCAACTAAAATATATATATTATATTTTTTTTTTTCTTCTATGTGCCTTACTTAGTGGAAAGCACTCTATATCAGTGATAGAGCTAACATATTTTTGTTGTATAGATACATCTCATATATATATATATATATATATATATATATATATATATATTATATATAATAACATAACTCAGCATAACTCAGCATTTCTACAATCTTCAGGTATATATTTGGGCTTACACTGTTTCTTTTATACTTAGGAGAAAATAATATATAAATTTTAATATATTAAGAACAATTTTAGTGAAAACTGATTTGTACAATATTTCACATCTTTCTTGGCAGATCTTTTATAACAATGTGGGATATTTAATAACAAAAATGAGGGAAACATAAAGAAAAAACAAACTAAATGAAATGCTCTGTTTATTTATTAAACAGTATATTTATTTAATTTTGTCTCCCGGCCCCGATTATTTGAGAATTCATATTAAAGAAAAATATGTGTTCTCTGACAAGATTTGAACCTGTGTCCCCCTTGGGCAGATGGAACTGTTTTAACAGCACTATTCAACCTTGTCTGATTGGCTAAGTTCTTCGGAACTCAGTCGGTTTAGAGCATATCAAATCTAATAATGGTGACCTCTGTCCAGGGTGACAGATTCAAATCTTGCTGAAGAGTGCATATTTTTCTTTAATAAGATTGCTTGAATATCCAAGTTGGTAGACAAAAATAAATAAATATACTGTTTAAAAATTAAACGGAATGTATACTCAAATACGAGTATTAACTAAAAATAATATTTGAAGTGATTATATATATATATATATATATATATATATATATATATATATATATGTAAAAGTGGACACTGAAGTTAATATCCAGCAATGACAGCCTTTTTCATGCTTAAACGGAATTGTCATGCCTGACAATTGCATATAAGCAGGAAAAATACTGTTGCCACTGGGTGTTGACTTCAATGTCCACTTTTATATTTACATATGCTCTATCTCTGACATAAAAGCATTTTAATCCATAAATATAGCATACCTTAAAACTATATTTTATCCTATATATATATATATATATATATATATATATATATTGTAATGATTTATGCATTTATAGCTGTCTTTTGTTTTGTTTTTTTTTTTACACAAAAAATAATTTAAAAGTTTTACAGGAAGACATTTGAAATACATTGTTAATCTTACTGAATTTTGTTTCAAAATGGAAATTACCAGTTGAAGTGTGAAAAGAATAAAAAGCAAACATGTTTTGGATGTGACACTGAGGCTGTGAGGTGGTTAAACATTAATTCTAAGCAGGAAAAAAAGGGTTAATTCCAAAATGAAATATAGGCTAAAGGATAGAAAGAGAGAGTGGAGACATTTTCTTTGGTCAGAATGTGATGCCTGGTTTTTGTTATCACCTAAAGTTTTTTTTTTTTTTTTTTATCTATTGAGAGTCTGGTATGTGGCCAAAAACAGATTTGGGGAACAATTTTATCTTTTTCTTGGGAAATTAAAAAACACGTCACTAGTGAACAGAGAAGAAGAATTATATTTTTGTTAGCAAAACAAATCGAGAAATGAAAATGAAGAATGAACCCACTACTAAGGTTAAAATTATGAAAATTGATCTGTCATAACAGACAGGTGATCTGGCCTGTGTTTTCACTGAGACAGCAACTGGCCCAAGGATGGAAAACAGTTTCTTTGTTGAGAATTTAGGTAAACAAATATATTTTCATTGATGAAAACAAATTGGGAAATAAGTTTATCTCTTTCTGGAGAAATTAGGAACACATTTTATTAACAGAAAGAGAAACAGACGAGAATCATATATACATTGATGAAAACGAGGTACAAACCCTTTTTCTTAGAGTTGAGGTTATGAAGGTCAATTATGTCATGCTAAGAAGGTGTTCTGGTTTGTGTGAAAGGAATCAGAGAATTGAAATGAGAAGAATAAACTATGCCCTATGCATTTTAAAGAGTACATTTGTCACAAAGACAGTTATGCACTCTGAGAAGTGGGCAGACTTAGAATACCAAGAAGGAAGGAGGGAGGGAGGGGGCAGAGTTTAGCCCCATCTGTGCAGAATAGTGGTGCAAGATGTGAAGTGAAATAGGTTGCAGCTAAGGGAAAAGCAATCCCTGTGACTACTCCCAAGGAAGGTGGCTAATTTTCCAAATTTGGAAAGTTGATTAAGAAAGCAGAGATAGGGAACAAAGAAAGCCTTTATTAGAATTAATGCAAAAATTAAAGAATCAATGAATTCCAAGAACGCTTTGGCCCCACACCAGTTTGGGGCAGAAGTGTATATAAGCAGATGACTTTGGGGAGCTCATAGACTTTGGGCTGAGTTGCTGCATTAAGGGCTTCTGAAATCCACATCAGCTGCAACCAGAATTCCAAATTCCAAGGTTTTGAACCCAGCCTTCCAGAAGTTTAAACAAGGCCCAGTGTCACTATAGAAATTGATGTGGGAAGGGTTAATTTTTGTTGTACCAAGAGCTATATAAACCAATTGAAGATTAACACCATGATTCTCTTGGTTTATTTTTTTGTCGTGAAGATATTTTTTTCTTTAATATAGCACCCGCCACGGCCTGACCAGTGCTGTGAGACTATGACCTTCAATCTTCCACTGCTCTGAGATCAAGAACACAACATGTGGATGAAAGCAACCAACAACCAGCAACCATCTTGGACCAGCATCAGCAGTGACCAATGCAGTATTAGCCCGTGGTTAAAGTGTCATCCTAAGACCCTGAGGACGGGACCACCAAGCATGGTTATGCCACCGAGTGCAGAGAAAAGTGTTACAGTGATGTTGGACTTTAACCTGTTTAATTAATTAATGTATTTTTATTTATATTAATTAGCAGATTAAAGAAATTAACCCAAAGCAAAAGATTACAATTTTTCTTTAGTCCAATTCCATAAAAGTTTAATCATTTCTAATGGCAATATTAATTCTTTGACTTTCAATGAAACAAATCTTCTTATTATTCATGGCCCTTTGGAATAAGGTCATTGATGGACTGGGTCTAAAAGTATTGATTGCCACAGCTACAATACTATTATTTGCTGTAACAAATAAAATTTTCAAAAAATACACAAGAAAAAAAAGTGTAGAATTAAATTTTTTTGTGGAAAAATAATTTTTTAGTAATTAGTTTACAGGTACTGTACATATTACTGGCAGTGAGTTTGATCCTCACTGGGTGCCCCATATTTTTGGCCTCGTGTCACATCTAAGCTATGCTTAGAAAATCACCATATTACTGGCAGTGGATACATTTAATTTTTTTATTCATTTTTTCTAATTTTAAGTAATTAGTTGATATTTTTAAATTAATTTACTACACATTTTACACATTAAGAGATAGTTCAAAAGAGCATTGCATCCAGTCCACTATATTATTTAAGAATAATTGTTTGTGTTCACTAGATGATTGTTCAAATCTGCCAATAACTTCTGCATCCAATTCCTCCAACAATTCCTTTTCAATAGGTGATTCCAATTTATCCTCAAGCAGTGAATTTCTTAATCTTGTCTTTATGATCTTTAGCTTTGAAAATGTCCTCTCACATTGGATTTGAGTAACTAACAGTGGGCAGATGACTTAATAAAGTTCTTATTTCATTTTATTACTAAAACAGTTGTCTGTGTTTGTTATTTTATTGCATTTTTATTTGATATTGGAGCCCAATTGACATCTTGGTCAGCTCACCAGTGAATAATTAGCTATTTCAATTTTATAATCTATGTTCCCTAATGCCAGAAATAAAACAATATTCAATTATTTGGTTATTTCCACAGAACAACGATATGAGGGTGCTGAAAATTTTTCCATCAGACTGACAAAATGTTGAAACGTCAAACTTATCTTGTCATCCCTTCTTGGTTGGTCCAAGAAATTTCCAGCACCCCCTCTCATCCGATGAGCAAAAACTGTATTTTTTTTTTAAAGATAAAGTCAAACAATAACAAATCTTAAAAAAAGCAAAAGGAGGAGGAAATCTTTTTAATGCTCATGATTGGAATTAGTGTTTTCTTTGGTTACAAAAAGTCAAGGGAAAAATTACCCTTTTTTAAAAATATTTTTATACTAATTTTTTGATTTAGGAAAAAGACAAAAACCATTATCCATGAAAAGAAAACTCAGTGAAAGGTTTCTAAAAATGCTTTGCAGCATCGATAACATTGTTCATAGACGGGATAAAATTCCGCTTGTGTATCCTGAAAGAAAAATAAAAAAACAGAATGAGAAATAAATGGAAAAGTTACAAAAATATTAAAGAAAATGTTATGTAAAAAAAATAAAGATATGTAAAACATAAAAACTATGAAACTCTGAATATAACATCAGTGAAGTAACAAATTTTATGTGTTAATCATATATATATATATATATTATATTTTTTTATTCTAGGATATTAAAACAACATGTAAAACCTTACATTACCTATATATATATATATATATATATATATATATATATATATATATATATACTAGCAGCATATTTGGCATTGCCCGTGCTTGATTCAAAAATCATACGACTTATACAGCAATCGCTATCACTTGACTTAAAATATTTTTGCCCTTCTTTGCCTTTAAAGGAGTGCCCTTTGCCGTGCTGATGTTGCTACATGCCTTACTTCTTGCCTATCTCACACTGCAAATTTTTTCTAAGCTCTATACTAAACATTAAATCTGTTACGAAAAAAGAACTAAACAAAATGAACACAAAACAATCAGCTTTAATAAAATACTCGTAACTGTAAAAACTGAATGAAAAATAATGTTAACAACAAATACTTTTTCACACCCAACCCAGTTCTGCGGAATCAGAATCAACATTGAGTTTAAGCAAGCGAATGAGCCAATTGGAGTAAAGTGCCATGCAGATTTAAATTTTTCCCACTTGTGACGAATGCAGCTATCGATTTTTTTTTGCATGCTAGTTAGCATTCGTGTCAGTCAGCTGTTGGTGCTCACGCTGGCCAATAGAATCTTCCTGCCTATTCATTGCAGCCAACTCTCACTCTGGCCAGTAGAAAATGGCCACAAACTACATGAAAACTGCCGTAGCATGAAAAAATTATTTCCACTATCGATGGGAGTTGGGAAATGCAAAGTCGGTCTTGGCCTTCCCACTAATTTGGAGTATGTGCATGTAAATTTTGGTGCAAATCCGTTGAAAATTGTGGCTGTGCATTCATTACACACACACACACATCCTGCCTTTTATAGATTATATATATATATATATATACACACACAGATACACTAACGGTTACATATATAACTAATAGGATTTATTAAACAAATATGTCAAAACCTTGATTCAATCTAATGATTACATATATAATAGAAAATTTCTTTAAAAAAATGCTAAAAAAGATTTTAATTTTTATTTTACCTTTTCTTATTTTTTGAAGCTCTATTCAAATAAGTGTTAAAATCTAACAATGCAAAAGGCATATTTTTTCTTTATTTTCATTGGCATTAAAATCTTAGCAAATCTTAGTGTATAAAAGATAGTATTTATTAAAAGTGTTTATTCACTGTAATTATTACATATATAACGGATAGGATTTATCAAACAAATACATTAAAAAATTTCATTCACTCTACTAATGACTACATAAATTGCATTCTCTTTTAATTAAAACCACTTTTTAAATTGAAAATACAGTCAGACTCAGTACGGTGAGCAACTAATGCATTTTTTACTAAAATGAAAGTGCATTGAATTGCATAGTTCAACCACAGTAAATTTGCATCCAGGTTCTTAGGACATTTCACCTTTCTTGACAGATCTTCTATTATCACAATGTGAGATATTTAATAAAAAAGGTGATAAAATCATAAACAAAGACAAAAAGAAAGTAAATGAAATTGGCTAGACTATATATCCAGACACAGCAAAGAAAAAAAAAATTACATTTCAACACCCCTCTCCTTCGTGCGCATATGTAGTTACATCAGCATAAAAATCATTTTTGTCCCATGAAGCATACACAAACTAAATAAAGACTTGACAATATATCCAGCTATATCTTTAAAAAAAAATTTTTTAAATTTCAGCATTTTCCACTTATGAAAAATTATAACCAACATGCATTTTTATATTCCCCCTCATCTTCCTACACACACACACACACACACACACACGTGTGTGTGTGTGTGTGTGTGTGTGTGTGTGTGTGTGTGTATAATTACATCAACAAAAACTATTACTTTAGTTCTAAACAATGAAGTTCTAAACAATGAAACTAGTTGCACAAAACAGTTTTTCCACTTTATCATTAATTTTCCTAACATTGTTTTTTATAAATTGCTGATAGCCTGTGAAGAGTGGATAGACAGGTCTGTCTACAAAACTCTGGATTCAGGATGATGGAGGTAACATCAATCAGCTAAGTGACAAACTTTACATTAATCCTATATATTAAAAACCAAAAAACTTAATAATGAAAACATAGCGTCACGTGATGTTGAAAATCTGTCCACTAATGTTCACATTAGAGAAACCATTGACATTAATATTAAAAATATATATAATAATTCATCTCTGCCTCCACCATTAAAAATTAAACCTAAAATACTAAGAAAATTACTTTTAACCTGTACTACTGAAGTCCCATTCTATAATCACAGAAATAACTATAGAAATATGTACAATGTGTTGGCGTTTCTATGGGTTCTGTGTCCAACTTTATATGGCCAAATTAGAAAATAATATATTTAACACCACCAAGAAACCCTACCTAAGATATGTAGATGATGTTCTTATTTCAGTTAAAAACATAGAAGAAATAATGGAACTCCAAAAAGACTTACAAAAAACTGTCCTCAAGTTCACATATGAACTTAACAAAGATAACAAAATCCCTTTCCTTGACATTTTAATAAATACAAATAATAACACATTTCCTACCTCCCCATATAAAAAAACAACCAGCAAAAACTCCTGCACTCTCAACGATAAGAGTGAATGTCCTAATTACTACAAAATAGCACTTATACAAAATTTAATTAATCAAGCAAAAATTAATTCCTCCACAAAAAAGATATTCTACACTGAACTGAAAAATATTAAGCAGACTCTCATTAATAATGACTTCCCAAACCACATTGTAGATGAACAAATAAGACGGTTTATCAAAAACCTCAACACACGTTAAATAGAACATGGTACTTCCTCAAAGGACCCGAAATATATCAAATACTTATATTGTAACCAGAGGCATGCTAACTACAAACAGGATGATAAAATCATAAAAACTCATTTGTATCAATATATCTCCCATGGATCCTAATAAAAAAAATAAAATTAATCATATATTACACAAAATACAATACAGCCAATTTAATTATTCGCAATAACTCCTCCCCACCAAAATATATAAAACCAACATTATATATCAATTCAAATCTCCCTTGGGAGAAAAGAAAAGAAAAACAAATATATATGTTAGATAAAGGACAATTACACTTATCAAGAGGTCTGACTTTACATCTGTCTAACCATTCATCCATTGCGCGACATTTACACCAACATTCCGGTACAAATTAACAGTATAGAAAAATACTGATTGATAACACAACTATCCTACACCAAGAAAAATTAATATAGTGTAAAGATGGGAAAATAGAAATTAGAATTAGTTATACATTCAATGCTTGAAGAGTTGGAGAAACATAATAGTTAATTAAGTAAAACATATTATGGAATCTATATGAATAAATGCGAAATTGGAGCTCAATTCTCCCACAAATTCTGAGATCAGAAAGCCCCAGCTCTACTGTATGATAATTTGGTATTTATTTGAACCAACTCAAAGTCGTGTTTGACACAAGGTCAGTTTTTAAG